TAATGATACATTGTCAAGGAAAAATATAACACACAACAGATGCATACAAAATTATACAATGATATATCATTGTAGCTTGTATATATCACGTGCACTAATGTAATATACTCTCATTAGATGATTACTAGTGCACTTCACAGAAGACTATTCCCTATTGTCGTCTTACATGGCAATCAAAACCACCATTCGGTATTATGACAAATCACATTCATTCTAGGGTCATACTGACAGATTCTTTCTTTCTCTTTTCCTTTCTGAAAATAATAATAACAAATTGGAAGTTCCTAGCCAAGTCTTCTCATATTGCATTGCACCACAAAATCGTTTAACTCTTTATAGTAAAACTACCAGTAAAAGTTAAAATCTCCACATATAATATGTGGGAATCTCAAAGCCATCATCATTTTGTTCCACTATGTTACCAAAAATTTTAAGCTATATATCTATCAACTTAACTGTCCAAAAACAAATAAACAACTTTAGCATAGAAAACATATGTAAATCAATCTAACTTCTACAATTCGATCTAATTATCTCGATCTATCGTTTTCTCTTCTTTCATTAAGAAGAGAAGCCCTGGAATTTGAGTACTTTGAGTTTAGTTTGGTGAACATGGTACTTGGGTGAAATAGCCACGAATATTATAATAACACTCAGCAAGGCTAACCCCAGTCCTAAACTATTAATAACCATGGATTTTGGACACCATTTAGATACACTTCTCCTACTTTATAAAAATGTCAATTTCTCTACAAGACCTGTTTCTGCCGTCGCCACAGCCAATCCATATTTGTAGAGAGCAGGGAAAATCTGCCATGGCAATACACTAATTCTTGGTGCACACACCTCCCCTCGATGCCAAAAGCTCAAGAAGCCCACTATCCACTACAATTTCAATCAGAGTAACTGCAACATTGTTATACTATTCTCTCCAGTGTTATGTAATACCAAAACTAATCTTAATATCTGTAAAGTTTATACACCATCTTTCTTGTGGGGTTTAATCTTGAAATATTTCTGTCAACTTCTATAATACACAAAGAATGTGGCCTTCCTTTTTGTTAGCAGTGAAGGCTCTCTAATGCAACGAGAAGACAAGTAACTAATCACTTCCATCACAGAAGGCTTTGGAAAGAGCACTCCAGATCTTGAGCATGAGATAAGCATAGGCAATGCTTCATAATTTCAGGAGACATGTGCATTAGCAACCATCGCTTGACTTTTTGGTTTTAGCATACTATTTTTCATACCCCTTGTCTGACTCTTTTGGTGGTTGTTTTTTCCAGAATATAGGAAAGTTTTTCCCTCTTAGAATGTGCATTTCCATGCGATGAGACCACACATTATAGTTCGATTCAGTAAGGTAATTCCTACATTGAAAGCCCCATATTGAATAATAATAGGTTTTGACCCTGATGGTTCAGCCATTTTTTTTTATATATTTTTAAGTAAAAGAGAAAAAAAAAAAAAAAAAAAAAAAAAGATGAGAGACGAGGCAACCAAACTTTGAAAAGTTCACTAGCATCTCTCTCGGTAGCAGCCGGTTGGAGTAGTTAGCTTTGACAGATTAGCGTCAGAACGATGAAAGACGACACAAACATTGAAGACTTCGACTATTGGTTTTCTTGGCATCAATGAAAATTAGTTTTTTTCGATGGGTGACGGTTTTCGGCATGGTTACGGGTCTTTGTCAATTTGATCCTCTCGGAGATGATTGGAGTAGATCGGCGATCTGATCTTCTCAGTGACGATTGAACTTCGACAATCAGTTGTCAGGGACGATCAGGTTTTAGTGTTAGCTTCGGGACTTGACAATCTGATATATTCGATGACAACTAGACCTCTTGACTTTAGGGACAACAAGTCGGATAACAAAACTGTTCAATTTGTGGTGTTGTTGCCTTGGCTGGAGTTGATGGCTGGTGATTTGTGTTTGATTGATATTTGGTAGTGTTGTTTGTGTGGCTCAAGTTGATGGTTGGTTATTTTGGTTTGATTAGTATTTGGCTGGTAATTAGGTTGATTGGTTAGGTTGTTTTTTCTTTCAGATTGACGAGGACTGGAATGATAGTTACTCGTCGGTGTATTTCTAGACGATTGCTCTATAATAGTAATTATCTAGATCAGAACACATGGCTCTTATACCATGTTTGTTTTGAAGAATGTATTTTCAATTCATTGATTTTCATCAAAGGTTACAATCTTTAGATAGGAAGAATACAATTTATTGAATCTCCTAATTATGTCAGTTACAGCAAGATAAGGAGATTACAAAATATCTAGAATATTCTGAAAATCGTAAATTGACATAATTGAAAGATTAAGAATAATTAGAGATTTACAAAACATTTAGAAAATCTCAACACAAAATTTTAACACAAGGGTGCGTTGTTTCCAAATTTTTCCCTTATCCTATCCTATTCTATCCAAAATACACATTTATTTCCCTATTTATGAAAATACTATTCTATTTATTTAATTATTTTTAAACCTTCTAGGTTTGTTAATTTAACAACACCTAAAAAAAAGTTTAGAAATTGATATAAACACCCCCACCAACGCACATTTGCCAGATTTCGGCCACCACCGCGGAAGGTGGTCAGAATTAGGTATAATGGCACACTATCGGCTACATCTGGTCGATACTACGCCGATCTATCCTTTTTTGGCCAGATATACGGCCAAGTATCTGGGCGTTGACAGCCAGATCTTTGGCCGTAGCTAGTCGTCAACGACGGCCAAGATATGGTCGTCATGACCATCAACGATGGCCATATCTTTGGCCGTTGTTGGCGACCAAACACGGCTAGATCTGGTAGTCAATGGCTAGATTGGTCTTTTCTGACCAGATCCATAGTGGATCTGGTTGAAAAAGGCCATATTGGCACAGACCGGCTAGTTCCAACTGGTCATGCGCCGCTACGACAACTTCCACCATCCTCCGACAGTGATGGCTGGCTGCCAGTATTTAATGGGTGGGTAAGAGTGTTTTGTTAACACTCACTAGCAGGGTTTGGTGCCGGGGTCTTATTGTGACTTGTATTGGAGATGGTAGGGACACCATGTTATAGCGAGACACTGGCTTCGCAGGGTCCTTTGTGTGACTTGCTCCCTTTTAGAACCTTGACTTCCACTGGTTGCCGTGGGATGCTGGGTTTCAGACATTATTCGGGATGGTTTGTGGACTTTCCTTGGGCAGTGCAGATCTTCAGCCTATTGGGACTCTATTACAGTGCAGCTCAGGAGTCATCCTGACCATCTTGTGTGGAAGGGCCATCCATCTGGACGTTTCTCTATTGATTCAGCTTGGAATGTGTTGCGAGACAAACAGGATGTGAACTCGATTCATCATCTCTTGTGGTTTCCGGGCATACTCCACGTCACTCTTTTCATTCTCTGGCTCCTTCGGTCGGCTTTACACCATGGACCGGCTCAGCTCTCATGGGGATTACGTCCTCCCGGTGTGTTTTGTGCAGATCGCTACAGAGACCCATGACCATTTGTTTTTCAACTGTGACTTTTTCAGTTATGTTGGGGGAGGTCTACCAGGACGCTCCTACATGGCCTACTCTGTCTGGCTCCCTCTGCTCAGTGGGCTAGCTTGCATCTTCGACAAAAAGGTGCTTCAGACATTCTTTCCCGGTTGGTCCTTTCACCAAAGTTTATTTCTATGGTTTGAAAGGAATAATCGGTGTTTCGTCAGCATTGTAGCTCTCGCAGAGATATCGTCTTAGCTATTTGTGATCTAGTTCGGGCCAAGATTTTGGGTCTAGCACCTAAGTACGAGATCTCGACTCAGCTCCGTGTGATATGTCTTCCTGACTTTGTAAGGAGCCTGTGTGCTCTTTGTGTCGGTTGTGGGTTGTGTGTGGTGAGCCTGCGTGCTTTTATGCGGTTTGTGGCTTTGTTATTATGGCATCTTCTTGCTTTGTGGGGAGCTTGCATGCTCTTTTATGCTGTGTGACTTAGTGAGTTTCCCACGAGTTTTTGACTGAGAGTTACAGTCATCCTTTGAGGTATGCCCCTCATATTGTACATTTTTTGTCTTTTATACATAATTACCTTATCCAAAAAAAAAGTTTTTGTTAACTTTCAATATTTATTATAAGAGTATTTAGTAAATTAACAAATCTAGGAAGTGCTTTTGTTAACTTTTAAATCTTACATCATAATAACCACCCAATTTTACCTTTTTCAAAATATATTCTAAAAAGTATCAGAATAATGAACCAAACGCACCCCAAATTTGTAGATATTATTTGATGACAACCATATATAAATTGGCGACCCTTAAAGAAGTAATTTCAACATGTTTCATCATAATTAAGAGACTGTAATTATCAAACCAGGCAAAGTAACTTTGCTTCAACGACGAAGTGTCATTAACCAAGTACCTCAGTTTCGGGTCCTTCAATTTAGCGGACGACATGAATTTTCTGTACCCAGTGCCTTCTTCGTCAGGGAGCCACGATGTTATTGAAGAATAAAATATAAAAAAGCTCCATCAAACTCAAAAGAAACCAAGAAATTTAACATGACAAAATTTTTGTGCGCACATTATGACGTACTTTGAAATAAAAAGTCTTCTCATTTCATTTGATCTTGTCTCGCAGAAGAAATTCACAAACAATTTAGTATTGTCAGGAATACTTGACCCAAGAATAAATAGATAAAGTGAAATATAGCTGCCCTGGCTCTCTAGTTCCTCTAGGGTTGAGACCAATTTCCTGCAAAACATTAACAAGCAACTCATCACTAATTTGAGTAGCAATGAGAAGTAAATTAAATCACCAGTGTCAAAGGGATTTTTTATGTACCATTTTTGGTCTCCAAATGGCCCGGAGTAATGATAATTATCAGCTAAAGTTGAAAAATTATAAACTTCCAAGTATGGAAATATGTAGCAGGCGCCTTCACCATGCATAAGCGCTCCCCTTGGAAGTGCTTTGGACAACAAAAACCTTCCACAAATAAACAAGTGTCATCAATCAGGTGTCCCTTTAAAGGGCAGTCCTTTGATTTTTGACACGTAGAGTGAAATCTACAAATAATTTAGCATTAAAAGACCGATCATACGACAAATAAATGGAAATATTTTTTCCCTTGCCCTCACTATGTCCATTAGGGAAGAGAATAACATACCTGCAAGACATTAATCAGCGTAAGCTATAGGCAAATATATAGCGAAGAAAAGTAAATATATATTCAATCAATGCCAAAATCAATCACGCAAATACAAACCATTTGTATGGTCCAAATGATTCAGAAAAGTATTTTTTATTAGTTAATGTCGTAAAATTTTTAACTATCCAGGTATGATAATGAGTAGCAGGATCTTCCATCTTTGATAAAAACTCCCCCTTAAAAGTATTTTTGACAACAAAAACCTCCGCACCAAAGACACAAGTGTCTTTGATAAGGTATCCGTTTGCTGGATTACGAAAGGTTTCCAGGTCCAAGAATTTGGGAAAGCCCCATTCTGTCTTCATTGAATGGAAACGCCTTATTCTCCTATCTACATCAGAAGAAAAAGAAAAAGAAAATAAAATATATATACCAAAGAGCTAGAAAATATAATGTTGCTGAATTATATGTATAGAAATAAGCTACCTTGCATTGTAACATACTTGTCCTGAAGCTGATCAAATACAAAAAAATTAAAAATCACATTGATTTCCCACCCAATTGAGAGAGAACTCATTTCTGTCAATTCTAAGTAAACAGATATATGACCTTCCCCGTGATTCTCCTTGTCCCCATTTGGATAGAGACACAATTTCCTGTAATTGCAGATGAAATTCAAAATGTTAAAAAAGAGATCTAAATATGTATTATCAATATACACTATATTGATATTACTCTTGTTGAATCAAATAATAAGTCCCCTATTTGGCTTAATTCTTCAAAAAGTTATATACAATTAAACAAGGTATATATTATGTCATTAAATAAAATACCATTGGAAGCCCCCCGCATCAAAATTGTCTGAGATGAACTTGTTTATATTGCTAAAAGATGAGAAAGAGTGAATTTTTAACAAGTAATGACTAGGCGGAGCGTCCCTTAACACTGGAAGAAGATACAGATTTGTTAGATAAGAAACATTGTGTGGTTAATCATTTTAAAAACTAAATGAACTTATTTACTATTATATTTGAAATCAAGAATGGAAGATATATGTACCTCTTAAGATGACTCCTTCTCTTGAGTTCTTAAACTCCATATATATTTCCAATTGCAGAAAGAATAATTAATAATTAATTGGATTTCGCCTATTGTTTCTTCTTCCTACTTAGGTATGGCTGACTTTTATAATATAATTGTTGGATGTTTGATGCCTTACAAATTCAATCACCAAATATAAGAAAAGAATAAAGTAATTTCTTGATATTACATCCACAAATTCTTACTTCATGTACATATACCTCCCTTTCCTTATAACTAGTGAGTTCCTTTATTCTTTTATTAAGGTTATATTAGTAATAGCATATCAAATTAATTTAACTTTTGAAATCTTACTTTTAGGTCCACTATAGGAAATCTAATAATGTCTATACATATTGAGTATTGAGTATCGATTACGGTTTTGGATGATTGGATCATCATTCAATGATTAGATAAAATTATGTTCTAACCAACTATAAATATGAAAGAAAGAATTGACAATAATGTATCCAAGAGTTTCAAATAGAGACTTTAATCTAGAATATACAGGTGCAGAATGTTTGTTTTGAAGAATTGTATTTTCAATTCATTGATTTTCACTAAAGAGTTACAATCTTTATATAGGGAGAATACAATTTACTGAATCTCTTAATTATGTCAGTTACTGATTACACAATATAATGCCTGACAAAATTACGAGATTACAGAATATCTAGAATATTCTAAAAATCATAAGCTTGACATAATTGGAGGATTACAGAATAATTAGAAGATTTATAGAATATTTAGAAAATATGAACACTCCCACTCAAGTTGGTGTCTAGATGCCACACAGTGGCTACAAATGATGAGGACTATTCAACATCTTCCTTCTTTTCCACAACAACAACAACAACAATAGAATTTATCTTTGAATTCTTCTTCCTTTGATAGCGACTGTGATCCCACTAGTCTGGATATCCAACCAATTCAAAACATTGGCTCTTGGTATGACCAGATTTGTTGTAGTGAGTGCATTTCTTGTCAGTGTTGTTGGGTTTGCTGGATTTGGTCTATGCATGTTGGCTTCTAGTCTAAGCTACCATTGCTGAAGTTTCAACGTTCCCTTCTTCGCCCTTCAAGGTAATATGATGTACCGCTTCTTGTCGAACCTTCGAGTAACTTTTCTCCAGATTTGGAATCAGGTTTTTATGCAGAATTTCTCCACGGATTTGTTCGAACTCTCCATCTAATCTTTGAAGAAATATGTGTACTCGTAATTGCTCTACAAATTTCTGATATGCTATTATGTCATTGGGATCCTTCATAACCACTTTATTGTGGTGGTTTAATTCTTGAAATATTTCTGTCAACTCTCTATAATACACAAAGAATGTGGCCTTCCTTTTTGTTTAGCAGTGAAGGCTCTCTAATGCAACGAGAAGACAAGTAACTAATCACTTCCATCACAGAAGGCTTTGGAAAGAGCACTCCAGATCTTGTGAGCATGAGATAAGCATAGGCAATGCTTCATAATTTCAGGAGACATGGACATTAGCAACCATCGCTTGACTTTTTGGTTTTTAGCATACTATTTTTCATACCCCTTGTCTGACTCTTTTGGTGGTTGTTTTTTTCCACGAATATAGGAAAGTTTTTCCCTCTTAGCAATGTGCATTTCCATGAGCTGAGACCACACATTATAGTTCGATTCAGTAAGGGTAATTCCTACATTGAAAGCCCCATCAGATTGAATAATAATAGGTTTTGACCCTGATGGTTCAGCCATTTTTTTTTATATATTTTTAAGTAAAAGAGAAAAAAAAAAAAAAAAAAAAAGATGAGAGACGAGGCACCCAACTTTGAAAAAGTTCACTAGCATCTCCTCTCGGTAGCAGCCGGTTGGAGTAGTTAGCTTTGACAGATTAGCGTCAGATCGATGAAAGACGACAACAACATTGAAGACTTCGCTATTGGTTTTCTTGGCATCAATGAAAATTAGTTTTTTTCGATGTTGGTGACGGTTTTCGGCATTGGTTACGGGTCTTTGTCAATTTGATCCTCTCGGAGATGATTGGAGTAGATCGGCGATCTGATCTTCTCAGTGACGATTGAACTTCGACAATCAGTTGTCAGGGACGATCAGGTTTTAGTGTTAGCTTCGGGACTTTGACAATCTGATATATTCGATGACAACTAGACTCCTCTTGACTTTAGGGACAACACGTCGGAATAACAACTGATTTCCAATTTGTGGTGTTGTTGCCTTGGCTGGAGTTGATGGCTGGTGATTTGTGTTTGATTGATATTTGGCTAGTGTTGTTTGTGTGGCTCAAGTTGATGGTTGGTTATTTTGGTTTGATTAGTATTTGGCTGGTACTTAGGTTGATTGGTTATGGTTGTTTTTTCCTTTCAGATTGACGAGGACTGGAATGATAGTTACTCGTCGGTGTATTTCTAGACGATTGCTCTATAATGAGTAATTATCTAGATCAGAACACATGGCTCTTATACCATGTTTGTTTTGAAGAATTGTATTTTCAATTCATTGATTTTCATCAAAGAGTTACAATCTTTAGATAGGAAGAATACAATTTATTGAATCTCCTAATTATGTCAGTTACAGCAAGATAAGGAGATTACAAAATATCTAGAATATTCTGAAAATCGTAAACTTGACATAATTGAAAGATTAAAGAATAATTAGAAGATTTACAAAACATTTAGAAAATCTCAACACAAAATTTTAACATCAAGGGTGCGTTTGTTTCCAAATTTTTCCCTTATCCTATTCCTATTCTATCCAAAATACACATTTATTTCCCTATTATGAAAATACTATTCTATTTTATTTAATTATTTTTAAACCTTCTAGGTTTGTTAATTTAACTAAACACCTAAAAAAAAGTTTAGAAATTGATATAAACACCCCCACCAACGCACATTTGCCAGATTTCGGCCACCACCGCCGGAAGGTGGTCAGAATCAGGTATAATGGCACACTATCGGCTACATCTGGTCGATACTACGCCGATCTATCCTTTTTTGGCCAGATATACGGCCAAGTATCTGGTCGTTGACAGCCAGATCTTTGGCCGTAGCTAGTCGTCAACGACGGCCAAGATATGGTCGTCATTGACCATCAACGATGGCCATATCTTTGGCCGTTGTTGGCGACCAAACACGGCTAGATCTGGTAGTCAATGGCTAGATCTGGTCTTTTCTGACCAGATCCATAGTGGATCTGGTTGAAAAAGGCCATATTGGCACACGACCGGCTAGTTCCAACTGGTCATGCGCCGATACGACAACTTCCACCATCCTCCGACAGTGATGGCTGGCTGCCAGTATTTAATGGGTGGGTAAGAGTGTTTTTGTTAACACTCACTTAGCAGGGTTTGGTGCCGGGGTCTTATTGTGACTTGTATTGGAGATGGTAGGGACACCATGTTATAGCGAGATCACTGGCTTCCGCAGGGTCCTTTGTGTGACTTGCTCCCTTTTAGAACCTTGACTTCCACTGGTTTGCCGTGGGATGCTCGGGTTTCAGACATTATTCGGGATGGTTTGTGGGACTTTCCTTCGGGCAGTGCAGATCTTCAGCATATTTGGGACTCTATTACAGTGCAGCCTTCAGCGAGTCATCCTGACCATCTTGTGTGGAAGGGCCATCCATCTGGACGTTTCTCTATTGATTCAGCTTGGAATGTGTTGCGAGACAAACAGGATGTGAACTCGATTCATCATCTCTTGTGGTTTCCCGGGCATACTCCACGTCACTCTTTCATTCTCTGGCTCGCTTCTCTTGGTCGGCTTTACACCATGGACCGGCTCAGCTCTCATGGTGTCATTACGTCCTCCCGGTGTGTTTTGTGCAGATCAGCTACAGAGACCCATGACCATTTGTTTTTCAACTGTGACTTTTACAGTTATGTTTGGCGGGAGGTCACTACCAGGACGCTCTCTACATGGCCTACTCTGTCCTGGCTCCCTCTGCTCCAGTGGGCTAGCTTGCATCTTCGACAAAAAGGTGACTTCAGCCACCTTCTTTCCCGGTTGGTCCTTTCACCAAAGTTTATTTCTTATGGTTTGAACGGAATAATCGCGTGTTTCGTCAGCATTGTAGCTCTCGCAGAGATATCGTCTTAGCTATTTGTGATCTAGTTCGGGCCAAGATTTTGGGTCTAGCACCTAAGTACGAGATCTCGACTCAGCTCCGTGTGATATGACATCTTCCTGATTAGCTTTGTAAGGAGCCTGTGTGCTCTTTTGTGTCGGTTTGTGGCTTTGTGTTTGTGGTGAGCCTGCGTGCTCTTTTATGCCGGTTTGTGGCTTTGTTATTTATGGCATCTTCTTGCTTTGTGGGGAGCTTGCATGCTCTCTTTATGCTGTTCGTGACTTAGTGAGTTTTCCCACGAGTTTTTGACTGAGAGTTATCAGTCATCCTCTTGAGGTATGCCCCTCATATTTGTACATTTTTTGTCTTTTATACATACTTACCTTATCCAAAAAAAAAGTTTTTGTTAACTTTCAATATTTTATTATAAGAGTATTTAGTAAATTAACAAATCTAGGAAGTGCTTTTGTTAACTTTTAAATCTTACATCATAATAACCACCCAATTTTACCTTTTTCAAAATATTATTCTAAAAAGTATCAGAATAATGAACCAAACGCACCCCAAATTTGTATAGATATTATTTGATGACAACCATATATAAATTGTCGACCCTTAAAGAAGTAATTTCAACATGTTTCATCATAATTAAGAGACTGTTAATTTATCAAACCAGGCAAAGTAACTTTTGCTTCAACGACGCAAGTGTCATTAACCAAGTACCTCAGTTTCGGGTCCTTCAATTTAGCGGACGACATGAATTTTTCTGTACCCAGTGCCTTCTTCGTACAGGGAGCCACGATGTTATTTGAAGATAAATAATAAAAAAGCTCCATCAAACTCAAAAGAAACCAAGAAATTTACATGACAAAATTTTTGTGCGCACATTATAGACGTACTTTGAAATAAAAAGTCTTCTCATTTCATTTGATCTTGTCTCGCAGAATGAAATTCACAAACAATTTAGTATTGTCAGGAATACTTGACCCAAGAATAAATAGATAAAGTGA